GTTTGTTCACAGTTGAAACATTTAAACAAGAGTTTGTTCATAGTTGAAACATTTAAACTAGAGTTTGTTCATAGTTGAAAGATGTAAACTAGAGTTTGTTTATAGTTGAAAAATTTAAACTAGAGTTTGTTCATAGTTGAAAGACTTAAACTAGAGTTTGTTCATAGTTGAAAGATGTAAACTAGAGGTTGTTCATAGTTGAAACATTTAAACTAGAGGTTGTTCATAGTTGAAACATTTAAATAAGAGTTTGTTCATAGTTGAAAGATGTAAACTATAGTTTGTTCACGGTCGAAAAATTTAAACTAGAGTTTGTTCGTAGTCGAAAAATTTAAACTAGGGTTTGTTCATAGTTGAAACATTGAAACTAGAGTTTAATATGTCATTAATGGTCTCACTTTGAAACATTACCATTAGTTAGAACAATACATGATATTGTGGTAACCCTAACAATTATCATGTAGCCAGTGAACTGAAGACGTTGTCCATGTAGCATGATTTACAACACTGTACCTGTAGCAGCTATCGTGGGACTTGTCTGCTGTTTTACTGTTTCTTAATTTATATTACTAATATAACTTGTCTTTCTTTTCTTCATTAGGAAAACACTCGCCAATAGAAGACACTGTGATTCAAGGTAAGGTTAAAAAAATGTCCAGAACACTTTGCGTAACTGAACTGTAACGATCAATACTTATAGCGAACAAAACTTTAGTGTTAACGTTTTCTTCTCAGTGTTTGCTTAATATGGAACAATGGGATTGTTTATTATGAAACATGGGTAATTATATCTTCTGGGATATTAATATCCATCCATTACAAGTTCCTAGTTATAACTGAGTAAAAATGTTTAACATAAAAATGTGTTTACAACTTGTGTCCTATTTTTTTATCTAAAGTAACTTTAAATTGAAACATATTATTCAATATTAATTAATGTCTTATTTTGACTGTCCATTTATTTCAGTGTTCTGGTCCAAAGATGTCAAAATAATTTATGAAATGTTTAAATTTTATGGTTGGGAAATTTCTGGATTATTCGAAAAACGTAAGTTTTTTTAGTTTTATCTGAGCTAGTTAGTTTTGTCTCATTTATAATATTTTTACTGTGTTTTACTGTAGTGATTCATAGTTCCAGAAATGTTGACACTGCGCATTTCCATCCCTCAAAACCAAAGTTTTTGACTGACACTTTCAACTAGATATAATGTAATGATCTAAATATCTAAAACTTGTGATATCCTAAGATGGTTGTAGGTCTCGAAAACGAAATACAACCCTAAGACTCAACCCTAATTATAGAGAAAAAATACAACCCCAAGACTCAACCATAAGTTTGTGAAAATTGGGATTAATATACTGATACGTTAAGATTGTTGTAGCTATGTATATCAGTTAAAGCCCCAAGACTCAGTCCTAAATGTGTAAAGATCTGGGTGAAGACTAATAACACCTTAACACAACCACGAGATTCAACCACAATAATGTGTTATGGTGGAACTAAAGGAACAAGAGAACATTAATAACACGGTCCCGTTAATTAACCGTTGGAATAGTTTATCTTTCCAAATGTATGGATATCTTGTACACGTAATCTAAATATGTCTTCAAGTGGCAGTTAGCCTTTATTAAATAATTTCTGATACATTCAACTTAACATCAAGGTTGTCTGTTAATAATAGGCTGGTAAAAACTTTGAAGGCATATAGATTTAGGGATAACTTAGTTTAAATTGTTAAGTGTATATTAATTATATCATAACTTTTCAGTTTTCAGTAGCTTCTAATAGTATTTACGTTAAATGTTTTTGATATTTCAATACTCCCCCCTTCGTAGTTATACAAATATTTTATTTTATTTTATTTATTATCTATAAATATTTAGTAATCAAAGGATAAAAAACCATCTCAGTACTTTATTATTGTTAAAGAAAAATTGTTAGAACATTCTAATCTCTGAGGAAAATTATGTCTGCTCATTGTCATTATTGGAAGGATAAAATATCTTAGCACATTGATATTGTTAAAGGAAACAATATCCAAGCACATTGTCGTTGTTAAAGGATGAAATATGCTAGCATATTGTCATTGTTTACTGAAAACACTATGTTAACATATTGTCATTGTTAAATAAAAATAGTATGTTAATAAATTGTCATTGTTAAATGAAAAGCAAATATGCCAGTTTATCATGATTGTTAAAGTAAAAATACTGTTAACAGGGCTAATCCTGAAATATGTAAAATTCTTACGAACTATCGCTACTTTTATCCATCCATTGCGGTCCAGTCCAACTGCTCTCAACTTATTTTTTGTTGCTTTCAGGGGACATCTATGTAGAGCTGAAACAGGGATTCAAAGAGGGAGTTATTCGGAGTCGATGGATGAAGTGGAAAGAAGGGGTTATGTTTATTTTTCTCTCTAATAATCTATAAACAAAAATATTGTTTTATTAAAATTTACAGTGTTACAAGAGTGACAGTAATGTAATTATTTCAAATAGCTGAGATATGATTCGTGATTATTTATCAAAAAAAAGAATTGTAATGAACTGATTAGTTTTATATTACAGTAATTTATTTACCACGAACTGTAAAGTGAGATCAGTTGAGCTACAAGCGTCTAATACTCTGTAAGTAATAATTTACTTGAACAAACTCTTGACTGTGACACTTGGAGACAGTGAATTCATATTATATATAACAATAGAAATTTTTATCCACAGGTTTGAAAGTATATTTACTTTTGGCGCCATCTAGCGGAATTATTAATTGTATTTATAATGTTTGTTTTAGCACCTATATTTAAATTAAAATATAACAAGGTTAGCTACATTTATTTTGAATTTTAACACCTGCCATACGAGGCAGCCCAGCATCTGTTAATACTAAATCTAAGATGACCAACATTGGGTCATTCCGGAAACTTGTGATTTAGGGTTATTTCGATAGATCTCGACGAATGAAGTTCAGTACAACTTTTAAAATGCTGAAAAAAGCAACTAAATATTAATGAAAATATGACATGATGAAACCTATATGGATTATACTATGATGATATTTTACTGGGCATTAGACTATCTTTCTTATAGTTACTCTTTATTGTAAACATGGCATTTTTAATTAGAGAATCGCTAGGGAAATCATCGTGCATCTACTTCCACTTCAAC